AGATAGAGTACCTAGGAGACATGGATGAAGGTTCTGATTCTGTCAATAACTTGTATGGTCAATAACATCCTGCTGCTTCTGAATGCCAGACGTTTACATTCCTACATCTCCCTTTTGTGCTACAAACAATGTGATCCTATTTACATCACCAACAACTGCATTTTAAACAAACAAACAAAAAAATCTCTAAATACAAACCTCTGAACTATACATCTTCCCAGGGACATAATGTATACTACTTTGTGATGAGAAAGAACCAGGAATTCATTATAAATTTTTCTTATTAAGTTACAAATTGAAGTGAAGGTAATTTTCTTAGTCATTTGTGAATAAAAGTAATACCCATAGAAATGGAAGCAATAAATGAACACATCAGGTCGAAGATTGTACATTCTGCCCAGCGTGCTGAAAATCACCACGTACAGAATGACAAGATCTTATGTGTAGACACTGCCTACCTCCTCTTCATTACCTATTTTCTCTTCATATATACTGGTAGTAAAAAAAACGAAATATAAATATGCAAAGGATCTAAAATATGTTTCAAGAAGAGGAACCAGCCAACTGCCAGTTAAAGTTTGACCTAGTTCTGTCCCTTTCACAGGCCCCATGCTTAGACAGACACTATTTTTAAATTACAGTGATATCAGTGCACCCGGCTCCTAATTCCTGCACTGAAACCAGAACACCCAGTCACCAGAATGTGACTGAATGTGCAGACAAGGAATCAGTGAAGGGACTAAGTTCAAAAGGAGGCCGTTATGGTCGGCCCTAATGAGGAGAGGCACAGGGATGGGCGAGACCACAGGGGACACAGCAAGGTGGCCATCTTGCAGCCGAGAAGAGGGTGCTCAAGGCAACCCACACACTGACCTGGGACTTCCAACCTCCAGAGCTGTGGACAGTAGACTGCATTGTTCTGCCACCCAGTGCATATTTTGTTAAAGCCCTACCAAACTAATACACCCTAGGGACAGCAGCATAGAGGCCTTAGGAATGACAGCTGGAGGCAGAGAGCCCGTGTTCCAGATTCCTAGAGTTTCCCTGGCAAAGAAATGAAGTCTCCAATCCTTTTCAATATTAATAAAACCTAAAGCACTATCTGTTGAGTAAAATGCACTTCTGTGGACTTTTGTGCCATTTATACAGAGAGAAGTGGTATACAGAGAGAAATCAATGAGTTACTTCAGTTTGAAATCAGATCACAAGTAACTTTAATCATCGATCAGGGGATTACACAGGTTTCTAAAGTTGAGTATTAAAGATATACATTGGAAAAGCTTAATATAAGCTCTAAAATAGCACTGCAGAGGGAATGAGGGGAAACACTGAAATTCACTGAAAGTAAGCGACAGTATAATCCATGCCCTACACGCACAAGCAGTGCTGGGGAAAAACTGATTAAGATCTTTGCACACCCTGAAATCATAATGGGTAGGTATATCACTAGCCGAGCTTAGCCTTGAATATTTATTTATTTATTAGTACTAAGGATTAAACCCAGGGCCTTGGCACTCAGCCACGTCTCCAATCCCCTTTTTTTATTTTGAGACAAGATCTTTTTAAGTTGCTAAGTTGTCTAAGTTGGTCTCAAATATGTGATCCTTGCTCCTCAGTAATATTTAAATATTTTAAGAGATGTATTTGTAGATTGGCAGATCTTTTCTTTTACTTTTTAAAAATGTTATTTTCTTTCTTTGAGTCATGCATGATATATATATACATATTTCTGTGGTGGGTTTAAAAGATTATTTTTGAGTTGCTTAAACAAGTTAACTCAAGATTTATCTTTACCTAGTCCCCTGTTAAGTGCCAGTATATCCGTCAGGATACAAAATTGTGCTTTAAAAATGTTTTTCTTTTTATTTAAATTACCCTCGTTTCTTCTAAATTATGTAGCTGGAAGCACATATCTGAGCCTAAGAGCTTTTACGATTGATGGCTGTTCTTAAACCAAACATAAGGCTTTACATATTTTACCGTCTCTCAAAAATTAACATTTCTTGCTTCAGAGAAATTATACTTTTAAAAAATTATGATACCTACATTAAGATGGTCAGTACTATGAAGATTATCAGTGTAAAAATAAATTGACAGTTGATGGGGCATGATATAAGTCGTGTCCCACCTCCCTTGAGGGCGCCTTCCACCCTCCTGAAGGCTGCTTCAGTGCTCTGAAGAAGCCCCTCTGGACGGAGGAGATGTCGAGGTTTGACAGAAATATATGGCAAAAGTTTACATTCTAAGAACAGCGCATCAAAGATGCACTGCCATTACCCCCCTCAGCATGCTCCCCTCACTTCAGACCACATTCCGCCACTCTGGCCACTTTCTGACGCAGTCCTGGAAGTCCTCTTTAGTGGGTGTCCTTAGTTGTGATGTCCTGGCGGCCTCCATATCCTGAAATGATTCAAAATACCTTTCACAGTCATTTTGACTTTGGAGAAGATCCAGAAGTTGTATGGTGCAAAGTCCAGTGTACAAGGTGGTTGACGACATGGGAGGTTTTTAAGAGCCTGCCTTCTTAGTGGAGGGCACTCAACCCTCCAGCATTCACCACACTTACCACATTTCATAAAGACATGAAAAAGAGGGCTTCAGAAATGCTTCTGGAAGTGGTAAGAACAATGCGATAAACGTGTCCCAAATGAGGGGGTGGTATTTTGATGGGGGTTAATAACAGTGTCCTTCACTGTAATAAACCTTAAAAATCGACACATTCATCACATATTTTGATCAAGTCTTGTATTAGATTTTTACAGTTGCTGTAACAAATTACCTCAGAGCTAATGAATTAAAACAAGACTTACTCTTTTACAGTTTTAGGAGTCAGAAGCCCAGATCTGTTTCACTGGGTTAAAGTCACAGTATTCAGCAGGGCTGGTACTGATTCCTTGAGAGGCTGAGAGGCAGTTAGGTCTCTAATTAGTAGAGTTTCTATCTCTTGACTCATGACCGCTTTCTCCAACTTCGAAGTTAGGGCTTTAGCAGCTCCCATTTCTCTCTGGTCACACTGCCACTCTTGTGGTCAGTTTCCACTGTCTTCCTCTCATCAGCATCCTTTTGATCAACTGGGCTCCCCTGAGTAATCTGAGATCCTCTCCCTATTGTAAAATCCTTAATGGCACCACAGTTGCAAGCCTACCTTGCCATACAAGATAGCCTTCACATGCTCCAAGGGTTGGGAAATGGACATATTTGAGGGGCCATTATTCATTCTACTACAGGTGACATAGGGAAGTTAGGCTGAGGTCAAACCTGAGAAAGCCTGCAGATGACACTTTCAGATAGTGACAGCATTTCTGTGGTAGTGTTCACTATGTGCCTACGATCACACCATTTTGGACGTTGTAAGGCATCAACTCATTTAATTTCTAGTCCTAGGAACAGGGCAGGAATGCCTTGGTACCCACTGAAATGTGTCTCAGCACATTGGGCATGTCACCGCCATGCCCTAGGCCATTCAACCCAAATAGCAGATCTAGGATTTATACCCACAGAAGCTGGTTTCATCACCTATGAGGTTGGCCACTCCCCTGTCATGCAGTTTCTGCTGCAAAGAGACACTGACAGGCAGTGCATCTTCATCTGAGAGCAGAGACTTTGGACTCCTGGGGTTAGGAAGTACTTGGTAGTTTTTTTTTTTTTTTTTTGTTTCCCACCTCGTGGCACAGCTGAGGAATCCACGATCTTTCTTGATATAAAAAATAAATTGAAATTGTGAAATTAAATGACATGCTCAAGGCTACATAACAGAGATGACAGAGCCACTGGAGGCATATGGTGCTTTTCACCTACCTAGTTTAAGGTGTCACTTGATCATGTGACATCATAGGCTGCACTGTGCCCCCAAAATTCCTATGGTAAAGTCCCAAGCTCTTGTCCCTCAGAGGGTGACCGTATTTGGAGACAGGCTCTTTAAAGAGGTCATTAAAGCTAAGTGAGTCCTATGGGAGGACCCTTATCCACAATAGCTGGTGTTCTATAAAGAGTGCCCAGCGATGGACATGCATGGAGGAAAGGCCATGTGAGGCCATGTGAGGACACGGGGACAGGCAGCCTTCCGCCAGCCAAGAAGAGCTCCCAGAGGACACCAAGCCTGATGACACCTTGGTCTGGGTCCCGTAGCCTCCAGAGTGATGAAAAAGTAAACCACATAGTCTGTGGTATTTCATTACTGCAGATCTAGCCAACTAACACACCCCGATGAATTACAGGCCTTTACACACTGCTAGCATGGAAGGTAGCTGGCCCATGATCTAGATTCCTGGAGTCTCCCAGAGGAAGATATAAAGCTTCTAAAATAATTTTTGATATTCATAAAAGCCCAAAGGAAAGTCCACAAAAAGGTGGTCTAACCAAAACTTCAAGTTTCATGTTTTTTTCTTTCCAGGTGGAATTATACTAAATCCATATGGTAGCACAAGCTGTCTCACATTAATCTGACACTTGTGATTAGGCATTTATGATTTTGAGCACTTAAAAATAGGAAAATTGTTTATCACTTAATAAGAAAGTTGATTGTTTGATAAAAACTCAGGCTTTTTGATGAAGACAGATTGAGTAGGAATCACTGCTCCAAGTTCCCAAGTTCTTTATTTGAATCTTGCAAGACCTAAGCTGCTTAATCCTCTTCATAGTTTTAGAGCTCTTTGGGAGGAATATAGAGCACATGACACAGCCTGAGTCATCTGTCACATGATGGGTGGTGAGCGCCACTGTTTTCAAACCTGGGAGTGTAGCTGACATTTGGTGAATGCTGTGTTAGGTTATTTTCCTGAAAGTCAGCAAAAAATGCAAACATCCCAATAAAACAAGAGACTAGACCTAGTTCTTGAACCTCATATATAAGCAAAATTTAAAAGCCAAGGCTTCAAATACAAACAGTTGAGTGTTAAGAACCTCAGTGAAAGGTATCTGAAAATCTGAAACGCAGTACTGTAAGGCAGAACTGTACATCTCATTTAAAAAATAACAGCAAAAGTATGAAGAACAGAAAATTCTATTAACAAGAGATTTTTATTAAATGCTTCATAATAAAATATTGAGCCCACTCTATCACGGTATACAGGTTGATGTTCTAATAAATAGCACAAGCAGCTGAGGGGAGCTCATGTTGGTATCACGGGGTGGAACTGTGGGGAGCTTCATGTACAAATATATCTTCCTCTGCTCTCCCATCACTGTACTGCTGTGTTCAGAGATGTTTAGGCTTTGGGAAAGACTCGTAATATTTCCTGAGTAATTCACTCAACAATTCTCAAAAAATATGTTACTTAATGGTACACATGACAGTTTCCAATGGATGTATCCATTTTAGTATTCAGCATCTCCAATAACTGAAAACTACAATTCTAAGTGTTCTATACCATAAGTCTTTGGAGTGGGCATAAGGCTCTCTAGCACAAGGTTAATTTCCAGGAAGCTTAGCAGGGACTACACTTTCTGGTGGAATGAGAAGGTGAGAAGAAATGTCAAGGGCAGCCCACTATTTTCCAAATAACAGGATCTAAGCCTATTGAAGGGGAATAAAGAGTGGGGATAAGTGGATTTTTGGATGGTAACAGATGACTGGAATAAAATATTGAGACACCTAACACCCTAACCAGCATAAAATTTGTCTTCACTCATTAGTCAACATTTTCTTCCAGCACATAATGACTTTAAGATAGCATTTCTACAAACTACATTGGCTCATTCATTTTGCAAGAATTATAATTCCGAATATCTAAAGTTATAGTAAATGGATTTTTAAAAATATTTATTCATTAATATGTCTGGCATTCTCAACTATGGCTCTTGACTTCATGGTTTCCTGGTTTAAAAAAAAACACTAAAACAAAACTCATGTTGAAAGAATACTATCTACCTACAGCTCATAGTAATATTCACTATCATCGTGCCAATCCTTATTACTGAGTTCCCATAGAACTAAACCAATCTGGCCAATTCACATTATTTAGATTTTTCTCCTTTATAGTAGTAATGTAACCAATTAAACAGTAAAACAATTTAAAGCAATTACTTAGAAAACTCCATTTTTAAGATGCTTTTACACTCAGTGATAATATATTGAGTACCTGGGCTGAATTTGGTACATACAGTCCACACTTTGGTACCCTGTTTCCCCTAATGAATCTTTCATTCTCTGACTATGACAACCAATGGGAAAATCTAAAAGTAAAGCAAAGTTTTAATTGCAATGCAAACATTTTTGTATTCACATCAGAAAAAAGAGATCATGCTTTCCAAAGATGGAAAAATAAAATCACAGCCTAAACATACAACCATCCCCATTACAGAATGAGGCAGCCAGTTCTAGTAACCCAGAGAGCATTCGTTTTAGAATGGTTACAACCAATGCCCGAAGATGGAAGCGCTGGTGAAAGTAGTTTTAAAATCTATCCCCTTGGAAAATGACATCTTTTACACGTTAAAACCTGGTTTCAGAAGTCCCTCGCTTCAGATTGTTACTCAAAAACTCGTCATGTTCAAAACTCAAGTTGTTATGAGATCTTGAAATCATAAGAAGCTTCTCCTTATTTGTAAAGTCCTTTTTGATGGCTGTTTGGGGCACAAGCAGCCTGTCCATCGGGTCCTCTTTGTTCTCCAGTTTCATGTAGCCTTTGCTGTTGCTCCGATCCAGCCGAGGCCAGCTGGGATGTTTCCGCTGTTCGGCTTGGACAGTTAGAGTGGAGGATCTGTCTAAGTCTAGGGATTTGGAGTGAGAGGAGAGCAGATGCAAGGATGTGTTGGATCCAAACTGTCTTCTGGCAGCTCCAGGTGACAAGAGCTGTCCAGCCCCAGGTCCAAGGGCCACAGAGGACTTGTACTGACTGGACAGTGACTCCCCAGTGGAATGATTCCTTGGGAGCCCCAAGCTGACGGGCTGGCAGGATTCAGCCTTGTTGGGCAGAGGGACCACAAGGGAGTCCATGGACAAATTCCTTGACCTGTCCTTGAGGTTATCAGCATCCTCAGTGATGTTGTCTATACTGGGCTCATCAATTACACAGTTATTCAGTTTGATCACGGGCAGCGTAAAAGCACTGATTGAGGAAGACACAATCGACTTGGTCTCGCATTTCTTGGAGCCGCTGCTCTTCTCCTCAGTCGTCTTGGGAGGAGGTGGATAAAGACCGAAGACAGACACAGAGCTGTCAGACAGCAAAGGGGGCATGAGATGGCCCAGACTCTTACTTTCGCTCAGCATGAGCTCGTCCTCTTCCACAGAGCTGTCCATCCGAAAGCTGCCCCGCAAACCTGAGAAAGAGGCCACCGTGTTGGCAGCCAGCCTGGAAGCACAGGAGCTCCCGTTCTGCTTCACTTCCTGCTCCCCCATCAAGCCAGCGTAGACACCATTTAGATGCTTCTGCTCCTTGATTCTCAGCGTGTGGATGTCAATGACCGTGGAGTAGATGTCCCTCATGTGTATGATTTTGGTCTCCTTGTCGCGGTTTTCATGCAGAATGGCATTCGCACAGATAAAAATGAAAATGCCAATCCCCATGGTGAAAGGGCCGAGCATTTTCATCTTATCAGAATGTAAATGCTGCTCAAAGAAGCGAACCACTACGCCACCCTGGTTGCGAATGACCTGGGTTTCGTTCGTCGACAGGGTTGTTTCAGCATCGATGAAATGTTCCTTCTGGGGCCAATACCCAAGGACAGCCATGGCGATCCCTATGATGGAGATCAGCACTCCTAAAATGAGGAAGAAACCAGATGGAGAGTAAAGCCGGATCTTGCCACGAACCACCACGACATCGGCCCGGGGCCGCCTCCGGACAGGTTTCTTCTCCTCGGCAGCGGCAGGAGAGGGGCTGAGGTTGACGTGGTGCTGGGATCGGGCAGAGTCTTGTCGTTTCAGGGCCGCCAGGCCAGTGATCACCCCGCCAGTGGCTATCATAGCTCGGCCTTTGTTCTGAAAACAAAGAAAACGGGTGATGATCAAAGTGTGTTCCTGCAGCAGGCTCACTGGTTCCGTTTAAGAACTGCTTAGGTGGGATTTCTGTTGCTACTGTTGTTTCATGCGATGAACCAGGGCAGAAAAATATGTCTTTAAAGGACACAGCTCTGACCGACATTTTGTTGATGGACTAATGGAAAATTGTGGAGATTTTAGTTTTGGGCTGAATGTTGTTAGTATTGGTGAAATGTGCGCTCAAGGTACCTTTTGTTTAAATAATTTTATTACATAAAGTAGTGGCCTAGGGATGACTCTATGTCTCTGTCTGTCTCTCTTTCTCTGTCACTCTAGTCCACATACATACACACACCATAATCATGGTTTTTTTTTTTTTTTTTTTTTTAATGGAAGAATAGAGTATTTAACAGGTCAAATACAAACCCCACACTTACAAAAAGCATGCACTCCAGCAATCTGGGCTTCCAGGCCCACTCTCGAGAAAGTCACCAGCGATCTCTTTGTGTCTCGTTCCCCGTCCCCATTTTCAGCTTTCTTATCTCTCTGCTCCTATGCATGTGACCACCCCTCCTCTCCTCTATCCTCCCCAGACTTGGATGACACTGAGTCCAGGTTCTACCCTGACCTCCCAGATGATTTTATTCCACTTGATTCTTTTCCCTGCACCTCAGTGTGAACCACCTCTCCCTCACAGACCCACCCTTGGCCACCTTCTCCTCTGCATTCATATCTACTACTCCTACACTTTCCACTACTTCCTTTATGCTGATGAGTCCCAAGTTTACATTGCAGCTCCTATCCTGAGTTTCAGCTTCACATTTTCAACTGCTCCTTGGAGGACACATGAATATCCATGCACCGCCAGCAAAGTTGAACTCAGCTTCCACCAGCTGTCCCTCCTGCCTTGTCTTACTCAGAATGGGGTCAGTTCCCAGGCGTGGCTCTTCACTGTTATCCTCCCCTTCCACTTCTCTCCACTTCCAAGCAGCTTCCACCTCTTATCTACCCCTCAGTTCCAATCCTGCTTTTCCCAGCCTAGTGCAACTTTTATTAACTCTGCACTGACTGTCAGAATAACTTCCTGACCTCCCAAAGTAACTCTTCCAATCTACACTTTTTCTTTTTTATAATCAAGTTATTAAGCACATAGCATAATAATTGTCCTATGACACACATCTGAGATACTTTAAAGTATCTCAGATACTCAGAGACATTCTAGACTACCTTAGTTTAATCTGGGGCTCCAGACCCACTCAGTTAACCTTATCTGCTTGCTTTAATTGCATACAACTGGAACCCAACTACAGCTTCGCCATCTGTACCCTACTCCATACTGCAACTTTGTTAAGAATGTTCCAGCTGTCCTGCCCAGATTGCTCCCCAGCCAGCTGCCATCTTTGCATCTTGACTTTTGGTCAGTCATTGATCCTCATAGTCCACTTCCTTTGCAAGATTCCCTCTGGATAACTCATCCCATATCCACCCAGGCTCTCATTCTTTAGAGCAATCAAACACATATTTTTATGGCACTTGACATACTATTGAGTTTTAATTTTTCCACATTTGTGGCCAAACATCAAATATAATTCATGTCTGATCATCAGAAACATTCACTATTGTGCCTTGCACAAGAACTATTTGCTAGAATTCTGAATAAAGGAGTCATTTTTTTCCCAGAATTTGCTGGATGACCATCATAATACTATATTCAATTTTTTACTAAAAACAATAGGAACATAATTAATTCCCCAACAGAAAGCTACATTTTATGAGTTGATAAAATATCTTATTTTATCCTGAATAATCCTCAAACTGCTAAGTTTGGTTGGTAGGGAAACAAAGGATATTTTAAGACCCACAAATTTCTGAGAGGGTGTTAAATCTCATCTTGCAGAATCAAGCTCTTCTTTTGAATTCCTACTTATTATGATTTCTGAATTGTGTTTAAATAACAGGGCTGTGGATGGTACACACAGTTATAGCAAGTTGGTGAATGAAGCCAGTCTTCAGTGGAATTATAACGAGGATTAAAAGAGTTTAAAGTTGGAAAAGCAAGCTAAATTGAAACCCATCACTCATCTATGAAATTTATCAGAGTATGCACACTACAGCTTAGACCTTTTTCAAAACTTGGTTAAAATGTAGTGTCAGCCTATGTTTTCTTGAAGCCAAACCAGTTCCAAATGTTGGAAGAAAATACTTAAATTAGATAGCACCCATCTAACCCAATTATTTCCATATGGTAGGATAAGGGTTTGCTCTGAAATCTTTCTGAATAGATGGATTTCAGAAAGAAAGGAAAACAAAGGCAAAAGCCTTTCGTTTGGTCGAGAAGCAACCACAATGAATTGCATTCCACACAATTCCAGTCCTCCAACATTTATTAAAACATTTTCTACTGGCAATGCCATTTTCCATTCCTGAGGTTGACAGAGGAAAGGGGGTTGGAACAGAAGAAAATATTTTAAGAATGATATGAGTATAGAAAGCTAGGATAGAGTGGGCTGCGGCTGGGCTTCTATGTAAGCCTGTACTGTAAGGAAATTGGGCTAGACAGGAAGAGGAAGCGGGGTAGTTTAACTGCAAAATTGTATAGAAAACGAGATCCAGAGCATTTCAAAAATAAGAAAAGAGAATAGGAAGAGTGAGGGAATCACAGTTTCTTCAGGGTGTCTTACTTGGCCAAGACTCCCATGAATCACCAAACTGAGGTCTGTTTCCAGGGCCCTCCTTTAATAGGATCCATAATACTCAGTGCTGGACAAGACCCTCTGTTATCTCTCACGGACCCAAACTAGCGCTCGAGGGAAGAGCAAAGGTGAACAAATCCAGTCACTGCTTCAAAAAGCTTGAAACCTAATGGAAGACCCAGTGCTGCTACCGAAGACAGAATGAGCTGATTTCCAGGATGGAAATTTCAGGCAGGAAGAACCTTCCCAGCAGGCTTCTTGTAGGAGGTAGCGTTTTCATGCTTATCACAGTGAATAATCAAGTTGGCATCCTTCCCAGTGATGGTCTAGAGAACTAACACAGGCTGGGCAGGGGAATGTAGCTTTCACATTCCTCTGCAGAGGAGCTGGAGTATGACACACATACTATTATCATTAGTTTGGGAAAATCAATCTCAACCAGTGGATGAATGCAATAGTGAGGGGCAGATATTGGGGAATTGCAAAGATACAGAGGCAGCTTCACTGAGGCCCAGAGAAACCATGAAATTGAAGGAGCGAGTGCACAGGCTTCAGTTTTGCTGTGCAGTGCCAGCTGGCCCAAAGTGTTCAGCATGTGTGGAGTCTGCCTGGATTGCTTCTAATATTTATACTGTGGAGCCACATGACCTCCATCCTGCATATACTTCTATCCCTGATTTGTTTTGTATGTGTTTTGGTTGTGGGGGCTGTAGTTGTTACCGAGCTTCCTTATTGCTCCTGAACTCTAACTAGAATCTCCCCTATGCACAACTCTTTTAGTGGACATCTCCAAACCTTCCCAAACTCTTCCCACAGGCCATTTCCAAAGGCTCTTGAACCACAGCAACAACCCCACTCCTGGTACCAAATTCTGTCATAGTTACTTTCTTCTCTCATAGTTGAGACCAAATACCTGATGTCCAAAGTTAGGAAAGGGAAAGTTTATTTCTTACAGGTTGGAGGTTTCAGTACATACTCAATTGGCTCCAAGGCAAAATGACACAGCTAGGGGGCAGTGGTTCATGGCTGCCCCTGCAGCAAAGTGCAAACACCAGGCAAGAGAGAAAAAAGCCACGCTTTCTTCCCACCATTACACTGTATACTGGCTCCACCCCTGGGAAGGTGTAGCACTCATACAACCAATCCAAGCACTAAACAATAAACCAATCACAAACCCTAGATCTGGCCGCCCATGACTGCATAAGGTTTGGTGGTATGAAGAATGTCACCTGAACGTAAACCATAACAGCTACAAAATGAATTCAAGGATAGCCTAAACTGCATAGTTAAACTCTGTCTCAAAAAGTAAAAAAGAAAAAAAAACTTAAAAAAGGAAAAAGAACAGCATTATCCATCGCATACTTCCTATGGTGAGGTACTGATCTAAGTGTTTTAGGTGCAAAAATAGCCTCACAATAACCCTGGAGGTGGTTCTAATAACGTGAACCCCTATTTTTCCAATGAGAAAGTTGAGGTTCTGAGTTTAGGTAACTTACTGAGTATCACATAGCTGGGGTGAGGGGTGGTTCCTGACGCCTGTGTTCATTTCTCCAATCAGAGTGACCATCTGAGGAAAGCCACAGAGCATGCATAAGACTGATGGCCTAACTTTGGGTGAGCATTGGCCTCTTCCATCTGTATAAATCCCTTTCGCTTTCTGCAGATGCAACCCTGAGAGGTCACTCACCCTTCCACTCTCCTCCTTTTTGGTATCACCCTTGGCAGGAAAGACAGAGGACTCATTTCCTTAACAATCCAGCTGAAGAGCTTTATAACATTTCATCTTGTGAACTTGGGTAGAGTCTGTACTTACCGACCTCTTTGGAGTCTGTTTTCCCAAAATTGTGTTGTGCTTCCCAGTTGTTGTTCCTCTGCATGTATTGTAAACCTAGCCTCCAATGCTTTGCCAAAACTTTTGAAAGTTGATAAAAACACACTGAGCAAAGCCTTGTGCTGTTCTACTCCAGACAGCCTCCTTGGTGGGCACTGTTTACCAGTTCACATATTCACTCACACAATTCATAAACACAGATACCTCATATTGCAGTCAGTAAAAAAGGCTCAACACCGGTTTCCTGGCCTGAAGATCAGAGTGAGCAGTAAGCATCTTTATGATGGGGTTGTCTAACTAGCTATAAATAAACCTAACAGAGAAGCAGCCACACTGCATGCATGCTTCCACAGTCCCCAAAAAGATGTTATGATTTTTGTCAAGAGCCAAGTTAGAAAAAGAAATATTGTATGTATTATAATGTTGGAGTACCTATCAATCATCTGTTTTTCCATAAAACAGCCACAATTTAACCA